TAGATGGAAAGTATTCAGCTTGGAGCTCGGTGACAGCTGGCAGATGGCATGGTGTTCTACAGGGATCTGTTCTGGGACCCCTGCTCTTTGTGATCTTTATAAATGACTTGGATGAGGAAGTGGAAGGGTGGGTTAGTAAGTTTGCCGATGACACAAAGGTTGGTGGAGTTGTGGATAGTGTGGAGGGCTGTGGTATGTTGCAACGGGACATTGACAGGATGCAGAGCTGGGCAAAGAAGTGGTAGATGGAATTCAACCTGGAAAAGATTCATTTTGGAAGGTCAAATTTGAATGCAGAATACAAAGTTAATGGCAGGATTCTTGGCATATGGAGGAACAGAGGGATCTTGGGGTCCATGTCCATAGATCCCTCCAAGTTGCCACCCAAGCTGATAGGGTTGTTAAGAAGGCATATGGTGTGTTGGCTTTCATTGGCAGGGGATTGAGTTTAAGAGCTGCGAGGTTATGCTGCAGCTCTATAAAACTCTGGTTAGACTACACTTGGAATATTGTGTTCAGCTCTGGTCGCCTCATTATAGGAAGGATGTGGAAACTTTAGAGCAGGTGCAGAGGAGACTTACCAGGATGCTGCCTGGACTGGAGGGCAGGTCTTATGAGGAAAGGTTGAGGGACCTAGGGCTTTTCTCATTGGAGTGAAGAAGGATGAGCAGTGACTTGATAGAGGTTTACAAGATGTTGAGGGGCATAGATAGAATGGATAGTCAGAGACATTTTACCAGGGCGGAAATGACTATCAAGAGGGCGTATAATTTTTAGGTGATTGGAGGAAGGTATAGGGGAGATGTCAGAGGGAGGTTCTTTGCTCAGAGAGTGGTGGGTGCGTGGAATGCACTCCCAGCGGTGGTCGTGGAGTCGGATACATTTGGGACATTTAAGCGACTCTTGGATAGGCACATGGATGATAGTAAAATTAAGAGTATGCAGGTTAGTTTGATCTTAGAGTAGGATAATAGGTCAGCACAACATTGTGGGCCGAAGGGCCTGTACTGTGCTGTACTGTTCTATGTTCTATGTTCATTTGTTCTACATAAAGTCATACAGCTCTACAACATGGAAACAGACCCTTCGGTCCAACTTATCCATGCCGACCAGATATCCAAAATAAATCTAGTCCCATTTGCCAGCGTTTGCCCACATCTAAAAGGAAGGCAAGCAAATCCTGCACTCCAGTTCCCACTGCCTCATGGGACATCCTGCTCCCATGTGTTGACAAAATTGTGGATTGAGAATGAGCCTCTCCTGTCACATGAAGACTTAGGGCAGAAATCCTCGACCTTGAGTAGATGTCAACTGGAATTGAGGGACGGCCGATTAAATATCTGCACGTAATTATCGCTCATGAGTGGTTAGGAAGGGAAGCTATCTCAGTAAAATAGATGAAATTAGATAAGCTGTAAAGAAACCTCCCATGGAATATAAAAGTGTGTGGATTTTTTCTTGATATTCTCCCAGCCCCTATATTGAGATAAAAGATTTGTTTTTAATCAGGAATAATTTGATGCCTGGAAAACAAAAAGGTCAGCAAGTTTGGACACCTAAAATTAGATTTTTCGGAACTTATTAAGCATGTACAGTTGATGTTGGGGAATATTCATGGAATAATACTGAGCTTTCAGCTGAGCAGAATATGTCCATGGCGTGAACAAATACTGTTATACTGACAAGAAGTGGCTCCAGCACTCGGTTCAGCTGTGAGAATAAACTGGCCACAACGACTAAAACAAAAACAATGGGAATAATTTGCCAAGGCAGCTTGACTTGTGCAGCAAAAAATGTTCCTGTGTATGAATTATCACAGGATGTATATTGGCCAAAGCAGGAATTGAGCAGAAATGGGAGGAATTAAACAAAATATAAATGGCCTGCACTAGTTCTGACCAGTCCTTTGGTGAAGGCCTGGCAATTTCTTAAGATACCGGACAGGATACCCAAAATAGTTTGGCTTCCGGGCAGAGAGAGGAACTGAATCTCTTTCTTTATTGAGCCACCCCGCAGTTGATCATAACAAGGTAAATTAAAAAGAATCCCTTTCCTTTTCGCTACCTTTCTTCCAGACAAAATTAATTCATGTTTTAAAAGAAGCCAATTTAGCCAGCCATTCTTGACTTAACAAAAGAGTGTTTCTATTAGTCAGTTAACATGAGAAGGAGTAAAATAATGCACATACACACAGGTTAGAAGTGAGTCCAACAAAAGGATCAGTCTTTGAGTCATTGGTGAGAGTATACAGTAGACATTTCAGCTATTTGATTGGTTGTTACCAGTCTCATTGATGTTGAGTAGTTGATTTTGGGTTTCTTGTCTTTTCTGCAGGTTGACTGAATTTTTTTTCCCTGCTTCCTTTCAATGTTCCTAGCTGGTCACAAGCAGAATGAGTGAATATATTTTCCCTTTCTTTACCGATAGTGCAGGGTGTTTAATGACTGTTTAGAAGCTATGAACTTTACAGGACACCAGTGCATGTATGGGGACATCAGACAACTCACATATACAGACCAGGAATTGTAGTTTTTTTATTGTTTCTCATTTTTGTATATCTTTGGAAGGACAACGTAAAAGCATGCCGCAGGAGATGGCTTCCTGTTGTCCATTATCTCTTCCATTTTAGCCTTTATATTTGAGGTTTCCCTGACTCCATACAGGTGCAGATGTCATACAGGAGTCTGCCAAACAAATCTTTTGGCTGGAGTAGACTTCTTTTAAAATACAGAGTGGAATTAGAAAGGCCAGTATGTCCGTAAGTACATGAGGGTCCTGATCTGTTCTCATGATACCTTATTCCTGTAAAGTCTAACCTGCTCCTCATCCCAAATGAACAATGCTGTGACTTTTGGAAAGGCTTGAACTCTCAACTCACGTGCATGGAATATTCAGCACTATCAGAGTTGCATATTTAGGTTACACTTAAAAACTGGGATACTGATGCAAGATAGTTTGGACACCTTACATAATTTCAAGAAGAAACGTCTTGCTCCTTTTGTTGTTTCCATTCCCACTTTTATAAATTTTCCCGTGAATTGGTAGGATCGAAGAAGAAACAAAAATCAGGCAATATTTAATCCACAAAAATCTCCCTTTTTCAAATGGCGAGATATGGTTTATTTTCTGTTCATTCAGACCTATTCTTATTCAGTCAAGTTGCTTCAGGTTATCCCGCCATTTTGGATGTTTATAGGTCCTGAGCTTTTCCAGTCATGTTCATAGAGATTCTTCATAGATTTCAAAGGAAGCCAGCTGGTGCATTCAAACACATTTCTTTTGTTTATCTGCCTTTAGTTTGCATATCCGAGAACAAATATCATTTGAGTATTTTTTTTAAACATTTACTTCCCCGTCTGCTATTGCAATTTACACCAATTATTGGAAGTCATCATAGCATCAACTCAAGGCAGAGAACTAGTGAATGAAATAAGAAAATTGCACTTACTCACAGCCTTTGAGATTTCAAATTGGTCTATAAAAGAGAATTGAATGCCTAAGAAGCAGGAAAAAGCATCAGGCAGTAGGCATAGTAAAAGGAAAGGTTTTTGATGTGGCTTTTGAGGATGGATCAGAAGGTACCAAGATGACTGGGTTTAGGGATAGTCGTGACAAGATAGATGATGGTTTTGCCATTAAGGCAAGAGAAGTGGAAGCACGTGAAAGAAACATGAATCAAACCAGCAGGTAATACGAGATAACAAGGTGTAGAGCTGGATGAACACAGCAGGTCAAGCAGCATCAGAGGAGCAGGAAAGCTGACGTTTCAGGCCTAGACCCTTCTTCAAAAATGGTAATATGACTTGGCATTTCAGCCTGCAGTACGAAATAAAGATTTGCAGTCCCTGACCAACATCTCTGTCTCAGGCTTGCCGCAGTGCTCCAGTGAAGTGGATACAAGCTGGAAGAACAGCACCTCATTTTCCGCTTGAGAATTCTACAGCCTTCTGGGCTCAATATTGAGTTTAACAATTTTAGGGTTTGAGTCCATGTCCTTACCCCAACCCCCACACACCAGGCCTTTGTCATTACATGGGCTGGTACCCACACAACCCATTGCCACCTACTAATATTCCTAATTAGCAGCTATTCATTCTCCCAAACTGACCTTTAACCTCTCCGTTTTCTGTTCAACTGTTTTTTTTCCTATCTTTGGGCCCTATCTCCATTTATCATTTTCTCTTTCACCACCCACACCCCCACCCCCTCTACCCCATCCCACCTTCTGCATAAATATCAACCTTTTCCTAGTTACCATCAGTTTGGAAGAATGGTCTCCAGATTCAAAACGTTAACTCTGATTTCTCTCCACAGATGCTACCAGACCTGCTCAGTTTTTGCAGCAATTTCTGTTTTTGTTTTTATTCTGATTTCCAATATTCTCAATTCTTGTGGGGTTTTTTTTGACTTGCATTTCTATAGTGTCTTTCTTGGGATGTCAAACAGTACATTACAGAGAATAAAACATTTCTTAAAGTGCAATGTCTATTGCAATGTGGAAAATTTGCATTTGCATAAATTTGCATAAAAGTTCCTTCCAGTAGTGAAGATAGTATAGTTTTGGTTAAGAATAAATATTGGCGAATAAATTAGAGACTATTTGGTTTCACTGGTTTCTTCCTCTTCTGCATTAATGGTAGAACCTTCATCTATCTTGTCAATACTATCCCTAAACCCATCTATTTTGATACTTTAAAAGTCATCTTCAAAAGCCACCTCAAAACTTTCCTTTCTTTTTTAAAACGCTACCAAAAGGTTCCTTATGTTCTCCTAAGAGGGAATATGAGGCCTTAGTTTAACATCTCATCAGAAAGCACTTCAACACGACAAAGATTCTCCCAGCTCTGTTACTTAGATTACAGCTGCACATCTCTAGAGTTCATGAAATTCTGACATAAAAATGAGACAATGTTATCATGGGATAACGTTACCAACTTCCATGGCTGGTACTTACAAGCTGCCCACATGATTAAAATGACTTTCTGGCATCAAGCAAAGGGTAGTTTTGTGAAACATTTATTGAAAACAGAGTTGGCAATGAAGTAAACATTATTAATTATTCATACCACATTTATTGAGTACATTCTGAAAGATTGTCATTACTCATGAAGGATCGAGATAGATGTTTTTCACCATCTCTGATGGTAACTGGACCAAGAGAAATTATAATCCAATGAAACATGCTATGGCTTCACAATATTCCTTGTTTAGAACTCAACGATTACACAAACCAACTGATAGTATTCCCATGATTCTGTAGTGCCAATTTATTCTTAGGTTTTATTAGTCAGCAATTTTCCCCGATAACAGTTTTTTTTAAATGAATGATTGATAATTTTCTTTAAAGAACATTGCAATATCTGAGAGAAAATGTTATATTCTGTACAAACATTGATATTTTGACGACTGGTACAAAAATAGGTTCTAAACGCTCCCAGGCGCATGTTTTAATACTGTTATCACTGTTTGTGGCTTTGGCACCTTCCTGAACACCTTACAAAATTCAAATATAATGTCAATGCCTTTTTTTGGCACAATACAATAAAGCATAGTTTTGTTCCATTTTAAACTAAAGAGTCAGCCGAAACTTTGGAGAAAGGGAATCATTAAAATGGTTGCTAAATACTGAACAAAACCTCGACTTCACATGCTACTCTACTTGGTTATTGGTATATAGCAGCTGTAGGTTGGAACTTTTTTTTTCAAATATCTTTTATACTCCCTGCTCACATTGCTTGTAGGATATGATTTGTATTATATTTGGTCATGGAAATATTAGGAATGATATCCTGTTATGCAGGGGCCATCTTGTGGTACTACAGTTAAACTAGACTATGGTAGCGATTCAGAGTTGGGACAAGGCAATCCCAATAATGTATTGAAATTGAGTAAACACGAACTTTATCAGTAAATGCAGACAACGCAAAATGGACACTTTCTAGTTATGCATACCTAAAGTAGATGCACACACCTCACGTGAACACTTTAATAGTCCTCTCATAACTGAGTATCCTGTATGGCACAAGTATGAGTTACTATGTAAACATGAAGGCCAAATTATACCTGAGAAATATAAAAATATTAAAGGGCTATATAGCTTTCTTACTTTGTGTTAAAAGTCCTCTTAACTTAAGATACATCCTTAATGTATGTATATATATTTATATATATAGATAGATAGATATCTTTGTGTACAAGCTGATTAGCCTTGTAATCTAATTAGATTCTAGCTTTTATTGGAATTGTTTACATGGTTATTGGAATCATATCGTTGAGAATAATCACATTCTATTAATCTGTATCTATATTTGGCTATTCATTTCAATCATCATTCCCACTGTTGCTCTTAATGTGTGTTAGCAGGGCTGCTCGTCATTGTCCAAATCTTATCAGAAAGCTCCGTAGGCGTCTCCGCGTGTAGGCACCGCGAATGCGGGATAACCTTCGTATGTGGCGTATGTGGCTAGGTCCTGGCCGAGGGCAACCGCTTGTTTCAGTTGTGTAGCTGCCACAGTGGCTGCAGCACCTGCTAATGTGTAGCCTGTAGCATAACATGGGAATGGGAGATCAGTGGATGAAGCCAAGTAGGAGACAGGCATAGACAGAGGTCTGCCTGAAAGAAGAGGCAAAGCAAAGCATTACCCTGGGTGCTTAGTTACAAGTTGGAGATAGTAAATGAAATGTTAGGTGCAGTGAAGATTTTCTTTTTGAATTATATTGTTGGTTTTTGGTCTAGTGAACTAAGAACTGACCATACTACTACATTATAAAACCTGACTTTCCAGCATTTCTGATCCAATTGTTAATAATCCGCTCTGTGGCCAGGTATGGAGGGACTTGCCAAGTACATGCAGGCAGCAATGAACTTTGCACTTCTCTGCCGCACATTAGTCAAAACGTCATGGCTCAGTGATTTTTCTTGACAAGAACCCTCAGCAAACTCAGTTCCCTACTGCCAGCACGTACTCAAGAGAATGGACTAAAAGCATAATTTATATCAAAGTATATTAGGTTGCTCATTGCAAAATGCTTTACATACAGAGGTTCAATTCTTACTGCTCACCACAAACATGTTTATCCCATCCTTGTCAGACAGATTGACAACAGTCACCCAGGGTAAGTGCTTGTCACACCTTTTGTAAATTGCTTCTATATTTCATTCAGGCTAGCTCCCCTTTCTTTAAGCATCAGATTCAAACATTAGGCATGTGCACTTTTGAATGTGATTGTTAATTGCAACACTTTTTTTCTAGGTCCTGGGGATAATTTGCTGAGCATGTGCAATCCTGATTGAGTGCTCCTGAATTACATGGAGTCCTTTGAATCCAGGCTGAATGCCTCACAACAGCTCATAGTTTCAAATTAGAGTACAATATCCCCATTTAAATAATAACCTACAAGTTTACTCTAATGATTGCCAGTCTCGTTTTCCAATTGGGTAAAGAGTGCCTTGTGACAAGTTAGAAGACCTTATAAATACAAACACAAAAGCAAAATACGATGGATGCTAGAAATTCGATGTGAAAACAGCATGTACTGGAAATACTCAGTACATCAGGCTGCAAGCGTAAAATGTAAAACAGAGTTAAAAATGACCTACCATTGACCCGAAACATTAACACCGTTTTCCTCTCTTGACAGATGCTGTCATTGGCTATTTCTGGCAATTTCTGTTTGAAAATACTAATCTTGGTACTTTTTTTTCTCTGAAGTACTCTTTTCTGCTATTCTAGACAGACATTACCCATTCTGAACCAAGCCAAGCACAGTTCTTCTTAACGCATTGGAATTAGTGTTGAATTCGATCGCATACACCTCTGGTTTCTGCTGGACTCCATATTTTTAAGCAGAGACATCATAAAGTGTTATCAGAATAAGGCTGCAGGTAGTTACATAGTCCCAGGTTATTAGTAATATTACTTTAATTGCCATAGGACTCCTGGGAGAGTTTAAAATGCAGATACTCTGCATTATTCAAGATCCATTTGGATAGGAGAATGAAAGTAAAAGGGTTGGAAGGAGCTAAGTGGAGGATGACTACAATTGTTTAGAACTACATGCTTTCAGGTTGAATTGATTTTGTAAATGTGGCGTATCTGTCTTTATCACCTCACCTCTAAATGCTATTGTACCTGCCTGCTCTCTTCTTTATCTTCATGTATTGAAGAACACAAACAGTGCTGCCAAGCAGAGTTCATTTCTCGCTTTGGAACTTGATGTAGTCCCAACATTTTATTTAATCTTGAATAATATACACTGTATTAAAGGGCTTTCTCAGGCTCTCTGCGTATTAATATGGAGTCCAGCAGGAAGCAGAAGTATATGCAATCAAATTCAACACTAGTTCCAGCATTTTAAGAAGAACTAGGCTTGGTCTGGTTCAGGTCGGTTAATGTCAGTCTATTTTAAAAAGTGGCAGCATGATTGCATTTTCATCTTTATTCGTTAAACCCCATTTTCTCCACCCTGGTGATCCCTGGAACGGGAATTATAACAGCACTTCAAAAGCTGTACCAAATATTTCCAGTGGGTATCAGGCTCCATGTGAGGAACAGCCTGTGCCCTGGAGAGGTTTCTGGTGTGTGAACATCCAGGGTTCTCAGCTGTCTACACCTCTGGAGTAAGGTTCTTGAACCCAGAGCTCCTGGCCCAATGGTAGGCTCATAAACCCTGTTCCATAAGACAACATAAAATCCTGCCAATTTTCATCAGAACTTCCACTTGGTTACACAATGGAGCCGCTGAAGTACCTTGGCAACAGTGGGATTCAAGCTCCTACCTCCAGAGAAGCTGGGGCCTTAACAAAGTTCCTTAGCTCACTCAGCCACACTGCCTCTGTTCGATTTTATACTGAGAGCAATGGAGGTTTGCTTAAGGTCAGAGATATTAACAAGGTTATTATTTCAATTTAACGTTTCCAATTCAAGACAGTATTTTCATGTACTTGGTGTTGGATCAACTCGTTAGGAATACAATACGGGCAAACGACAGATTGCCCATTTTGGTCGGAAGAATAGGAAAGCAGAGTATTATTTAAATGGAGAGTGACTGCAGAATACTACACTCTGGAAGGATCTGGGTGTACACAAATTACTAAAATTACCAGCCGAGTACAGTTAGTAGCTGGGAGTACAAATGGAATGTTAGTCTTTAATGCAAAGAGGGCGAAGTATAAAATTAGGGAAAACTTGCTGCAGCTGCAGAGGGTCTTGGTGAAACTGCAATTAAAGTGCTGAATCCAGTTTTGTTCTTACATTAAGGGGGGACATACTTGAATTAAGGGCAGTTCAGAGAAGGTTGATTCCTGGGATGAGGGGTTTGTCTCATGAGCAAAGGTTGAGCAGGTTGGGTCTTTACTCATTGGAGTTTAGAAAAATGACAGCTGATCTTATTGAAGCACATAAGTTACAGAGAGGGTTTTGTAGCAGAATCTCGAGGGCACGCAGCTTCAAAATAACGGCTCTCCCACTTTAAAAGGAGATGAGAAGGTCATCAGTTCTTAGAATTCTCTTCCTCAGTGAACACTTGAGGCTGGCTCATTGAATATATTCAAGATTTTGGCAAAGGGCTAGGGAGAGAGCAGGCAGGAAGGTGGAGATAAGGCCGTGATCAGATCAGTTATGATCATAATAAATGGCAGATACTTGCGGGCCTGTATGGCTCATTCTTGCTCCTATTTCTTATAGATTTAGGACAGTGTATATCCTTTGTAGTCAAGGCATGTTGTGAAAAAACAGGGAAATTGCTCTTTATCTGGCTATGCCATTTCAGAACTCAAGAGACAACATGATTCTATTCCCTAAAATAGAAACCTTTCGTCTTTATGAACACAAGACATATTATCCTAAAGACATCAAAACAGAGTTGTAAATTATGCATAAATAAAATGGTTCTTATCACGGTGCTCCAATGTGTAGTAATTGGTGTCAGTACAGACCTTCACATACCTGTGAAAGCAGCAGCTGCAGTTGGCTCGGTACCTTCAGTTTGAAGACCTAGGATCTGAAGGACATGCTCTGCTGCATAACTTTTTGCTTCCTCCACAGATGTACACAGTTTGGGTGGTGTGAACGGTTGGCTACAAGAAAGCAAATATTCTGCTCAGTTCTTAGTATGACTACTGAATACAATCCATTACTGCAAGTCGACTGAGCAAACGAACAGAATCATAGAGATGCACAGCATGGAAATAGACCCTTCGGCCCAGCTCATCCATGCCAACCAGGTTTCCTAAACTGAACTAGTCCCCTTTGCCTGCATTTGGTCCATACCCTTCTAAACCGTTCCTTTTCATATACCCATCCAGATGCCTTTAAATGTTGTAATTGTACCAGCCTCCACCACTTCCTCTGGCAGCCCATTCCATACACGCACCACCCTCTGTGTGAAAAAGTTGCTGCTCAGGTCCCTTTTAAATCTTTCCCTCCCACCTTAAACCTATGCCCTCTAGTTTGTTTGACAATCTGGTTTTGTTGACAGAGTTTACAGATAACCTTGTTGTCAATGCTTGGTTGGGCTTCAAAATGCACAAATGGATTAGATCATCAGGAGTTTGTTTTCACAGGCTGAAATGGAATGTGTGCTTTAGTTGATTTTTCTATCCTTTTTTAGAACTGTTGTTGTTCAATGCCTATATGTTTATTTGGGCAGGATTAAAAGGTGTCAAATGAAGTAAAAGTTCTGTTTTTGATACTAATAATAGCTCTGATTGGAACTTTAATAGGGTTGTATGAGCAGCAGTTCCTTTCAAAGAACATCTTTCAATGAGTGTTATTTTTTAAGTACATTTCAAGACTTGCCACTTATTATATGGTTCATTGGTTCCATGATGCATACTGGGTGAATGAGCTTAGAGGATGTAGAGGGGGAACAGATGGCACAGAACATGGGGTCATTGGGACACAGCAATCATGGAGATGGGGAGGGTGTGATCAGTGAGGGATGAGGGCTAGAGGGCCTAACAGCCTTTAATACAAGTGGGATAAAGTCCTTGAGAACTGAGGTGATCCATCGAACCAGCCTGTCTCAGCACACCCCTTCCTGTGTAGCTACATCCAAGCTGATTCCAGGATTCTTGGAGCCAAATTGATCCCAACTCTGCCCTTCCAGATGGAAATGGTGCACAGAGGATCCATTTTTGTGGAGATGGATCTGCCAAGTTGGAAAATTCCCCAATTCAAGTTTCTGCCTTGATAACGAAAATCCAATTCCCTGTCTTTTTATCCTTGAAAAGTGAGGCTTACACACCCAACCTATTCATAAATCTCTGTCTCCTCTACTGGTCTGCTGTGGTAACTCTGAACTCAATATTAGAATGAATGATGAGGGATTTTGTACTTCTTAGTTGGACAGAATTTTGCAAGGGATTCGTTGCAAACATTCAAAGCCTTCAGGGTGAGTAATTAATCATCAGTGTGTGGACAAAATGGGTAATTTTGTGATTCTCCACATGTACTTATAGTTCAAAACATTCTTGTATTTGCCATGAAAGGGCATTAATTACCAAGGCTTTCAACATATTTTGTAAAAAAAAATCGAAAAAAAAACTGCATATGCTGTAAATCAGAACCAAAAGCAGAAATTGCTGGAAAAGAACAGCAGGTCTGGCAGCATCATGAGGAGAGAAATCAGAGTTAACACTTTGGGTCGAGTGACCCTTCCTCAGAACCAAGAGTTCTGAGGTAAGGTACCTGGAACTGAAATGTTAACTCTGATTTCTCTCACAGATGCTGTCAGACCTGTTGATCTTTTCCAGCAATTTCTGTTTTCGTTTCAACATATTTCACTGTGTTCTAGTAGTGTGCAACAGGTCAGCATTGCTGTGAAGCAGACTGGGAGGAGTGTGCAGTGGGTCGGTATCACAGTGAAACAGACTGGGAGGAGTGTGCAGCAGGTCAGTATCGCCGTGAAGCAGACTGAGAGGAGTGTGCAGCAAGTCAGCATTATTGTGAAACAGATTAGGAGAATCAGCATGAGAAAAGCAGCAGCAGTGGGTATAAAACAGTGACAGAGAGCACCTTCGAACTGTTTCTACCTCCCATAGCTGAAGTGTGATGTCACAGAAACATAGGTATTTGTTGGGTATATCTTCAATATGTCCTTAATTGGCAAAATAGTTTAAATCAGGAGATATTACTACGTCTGAACAGTAGAGTTAGGAAATTCACTTTTAAAATATTTAGCATTTAAATTAATTAATTAAATAGAATTGAAATGTCCCAGCAGTCATTGAGTTGCAGCTGTACTATGTGGGAGCTGCTGGACAATGGCGTGATCGCTGGTGACCATATTGGCAGCTAGTGCTGGCGGCCTGAGTGGAATTTTGGCTCAGATTTGAGCTGGAGTTGAGTTGTAAACACTGTGACACATCACAAATGGGGAGGGGGTTATCTAGACACTCAGTGTTAGGAGACAGTCACAACCCTTAGATTACAGGTAGTTCTCCTATAATGCGATATTTGTGTTCTTGTGTGACCTCACGCTATAGAAAATCGCATTATAGGGAAATCGTTGTAGAAAATCGCTTTACCTGTACAGCAGAAAGTTTGCGTTATCCAAACAGCATCCAGTATTCATCAATTGCATAACGGCTAATTCGCATTAATGAAACACGCGTTATAGCAGAAATACCTATAAATCCTTCAAATTTGGTCCATGGTCAGGGACAGGTGGGTATGACTTCAAGTGAAGCAGAATTTAGCTTAGGTAGGACCAGGAAAGAGGTTCTGCTGAGAGACTGAGTAGCTCAGGGCTGAATTAAATAGCAGATCAACAAAGGTGATCACATATGGATTAGTATCTGAGCCACATGCAAACTGTTGTAATGTAAAAGAGATTACAGGGGTAATTGCATGGCTCAAAGATGGGTTTGGGAGAAATTTGTTCCAGTTCGTGGAGCACTCATGCCATCACTGGAGAGGAAGAGCACTGCTCTATTCGGATGCGTTTTGTTTGAACCTGCCGAATTATATAACTAGGTTTGTAGATAGGGCTTTAATCTAATTATTGAGGAACAGGGGAAGGTCCAATTGAAGGCAAGTTTAAAACATCAAAAGTAATGAGACAGCAGAGATGCAGGGTAGTGAAAAGGTGGATGATAAACAAAGTATGGCAGCAAGAAGCAGAAAATGTGAGCAGAAAGGTGCAGCAGAAATGGGAATGAGAGTAAGTAATAATGGCCAACAGGTCAAAATTTAAAGCTATTTATTTGAGTGCACACAGCATTTGTAACAAGGTAGATGAGTTGGTGGCACAAATAGAGACAAATGAATATGACTTCACAGCTATATGGAGACATGGTTGCAGGGTGACAGAGATCTCAATATTTAAGGGTATTCGATACTCCAGAAGAAGAGGTTGAAAGGACAAGGGGGCGTGGTAGCTTCGTTACGAAAGTTATGTATCGATGCATTGGTGAGTAGACATATTGGTGTGATAGATTGTGATGTAGAATCAGCTTGGGTGGAAATAAGGAATAGCAAGGGAAAGAAGCCATGGGTGGGAGTCATCGATAGATTCCCAAAGAATTGCCTCACTGTAGGATAAAGTATAAATCAGGAAATAATGAAAACTGTAAGAAGGGCACTACAATTGTCATAGGTCATTTTAATCTCTATATTAACTGGATGTATCAGAAGGGCGAGTGCGATATAGGAGGCAAATTTGTAGACTGCATCAGCGATTGTTTCTTAGAGCAGTATATCGCAGAACCTACCAGGGGAACAGGCTATTTTAAATCCATTAAAGGCGTAGTGAGAAAGAACTAATAACAGATCTAATATTAGGGTTCCTCTAAGAGGGTAGTGATCTGGTAGAATTTCAAATTCAATTTGTGGCAGAGCAATTTTGATCTCAAATCAATGTTCTGACATTAATTAAGGTCAATTCAGGGTTTCGGGCATAGGGTTGGGGGCTGGATCTGGGTTGGGCTTGTCTTCGGAGCGTTGGTGCAGACTTGATAGGCTGAACAGTCTTTTTTCACACTTGTAGGGATTCTACCATTCAGTTACAGAAGTATGAAGAAAGAGTTCTCCGAAGCGGGCTGGGAAAATGGACTGAGGGGAAGGTCAGTCGATGAGCAGCGGGAGACTTTAAGCTCAACCAAAAAAAAAAAATTCTTCTGGTCCAAAGAAGGACCCATTGATAAGGCAGTCAAGGCTTGCATCCAACCAAAAACTAAAGCACACAAAGCAGCAAATCTCGTGATTAGCCAGAGAACTGGGAATTACTTTTAGAATCAGCAACAGATGATTAAAAAAGCTAATAAAAAGAGAAAAAGTTGATTATGAAAATTGGTGACAAATATAAAAAGGAGCAGCAAGAGTTTTACAGGTATATAGAAAGTGATTAGCTAAAATGACTGTGGGACTCTGGGGGGAATACTTAATGGGCTGAAAAACCTACCCTGCTTCTTCACTTTAACATGCTTTTGATTTTTGTTTCCTTTGCTAACAAGGGCTCGAGAGGAGTCTCATTTTTCTGGCAGAACTATTCTCAAGAAACAGGAAAGTCAGAAGAATGTCAAATGGAACCTCTTTAGCACAGTATCCAAGGCACCTTTCAGGCTATTGAATTGTATTGTATCTGCCTCTTTCTGGAGGTGATGCAGGAACTCTCCTAATACATATCCATTCATTTCCCTCAACCACCTTCCAGGAAGGTCTCAATTTGTCTACTTCGTCAGCTTGTTGCATTTACCATAAATTCTATGGGATCCACAATGTTATTACAATTCACTAACTTCACCTGAGAGCGAACATTTCCTACTAAAGTAGATAATGGACACAGAATACTTCAAAGGTATCAAATATTTTTCAATGACACTGTCCTTGTCATTAAATGCCACAAGAAATAAGTCAATATCTGTGTTTCTTTCAACACAGTACCAAATCTCTCACTATATCAGTTGTTGACCTTCTCTTCATTAATCCTCTTTTATTTCATTTATAAGTCTAACTGTAAAATCACCAACTTAAGAATTCTGAAGACAAGAGGCTGCTATTTATTGGAGACTTTCATTTCAGAATATTAGCTTCCTTTGATTACCTTCTTAGAGTTCTAATAGTTGTTAAATACTGTTTTATTTTGTTTTCCAGAGTTCAGACTACAATCTTGACCAATGCTTAGTCTTTTACCAGTCTTGCTCGGACCCTTCACACCTTTACTGCACAAGAGAATCAGTAGCAGATAAGCATCACCGTGCTTGCAAATAGAATCATTAGGAAGCATTTTGTGACTTTGGTATATGGCCGGAATGTAATAGCTTTAATAGCTGTAATTTCCCTATTGCATTTATTGATGTAGCTGTAGTACTGGTTAGAAACTTTCTGTATAGAATGAAACTCCTTTAGTAGATTTAAGTTACACTGCTGACTGTGCCTTATTGATCTCTCTGTGACAATGTTTACTTGCATATAAATCCAGATCTCTATTAGTTTAGGAAAGCAGAGAGGGAGCATCTGCTAATCTGTTAGTTTGAGATTGATGCATTCCCTCAAGTGCTATTTTAAAGTGCCTGTTGATTATGGATTAATGGAAATGACTTGAGAAAATTCAAAGCAACTTACTTAGCAATGCTTAAAGATTCATAAAGGGCATCATTTCTTCTACTAAGCTATCCCTTTGAAAATGATTAAGATTTACCTTGCACTCCCAGCTTTTATGTGAAGGTGGCAGCAGAGAAGCTACGAAGACTGTGGCGATGAGGACTTATTTGTGTTTGTTTAGCTAAGTGTTTTATACAAGCTGTCATTAGTTTTGAAATTTTTGAGAACGATTTTACTTGAATACCAAAGAATTTTTGTCAGGTACAGCTGTTCTGTCATGCCCACATATTAATAAAATGAAATAAATGATGTATTGTGTACAAAGATCTTCAATTTAACAGCATCAAGAAAGAACATTTTAACTCAGATTGAAATCATTGTAGCTCATGCACAATACAACATTTAGACACACACACAAGGCTGGAGAGACTCAGCACCTCTGGATAGAGAAACAGAGTTAATGGTTTGAGTCTGGTATTACTCTTCTTCACAACAACATTTAGGATATTCTGAAGAAGGGTCCAGACCCGAAACGTCAGCTTTCCTGTTCCTCTGATGCTGCTTGGCCTGCTGTGTTCATCCAGCTCTACACCTTGTTATCTAACATTTAGGATATGTTTATTTTGATGGAAAAGCATCTCATCATTTAAGGAAGAGCTAAGGGAACGTTCTCATCCGTATGATCAGAAGTATACGTTGGGATTTATCACAGCAGCAGTGAACCCACTTCGAAAGGTACTGGAATTCATGACTGGGTTTTAACATCATCAGATTTTTAGGGTCACATTTTCTGCCACTATGAGGACGGCTGTATCACCTCTAAGTAGCCAATCAGAGAGTCTCCAGCTTGTCAGACTCAGCAGTGCCTCCGATGGCCACTAATAGAACGGTAGACACTCCCTGACCAGGAGTTGCAATGGAAGCTGGAGAAGCTTGGAAGTGGTGGTGGTTCAGTGGGAGTCATCCTCAGCAGGACCAAGCTCAGCAGGACCAAGCTCAGCAGGACCAAGCTCAGCAAGACCAGCTGTGGGCTGTGAATGGAAGGTTGGGAGAAGGAGGTATGTTGATCAAACAGGGACTGCCTGCTCTGCTAGGGAAAGGGAGGCCCTCCAAAGGCCCAGGGAGCCTGAATAGGAAGGACCCCTTTCTGGGAGCACAGTCAAGCCACCATAATATACCTGATTGCCCCAATATAAAACTTAGGATAACCAGTAGCAATAAAATTCCAGTGGTAGTGGGTGCAGTCCATTAAATGGCCATATATTGTCCACTAAAATCATCAATGGGCTTAAGGGCAGGTGGGTTGCCCAACGCCAATCTTGCCACTCGTAAAATTCCAGTGGAGGTGGACAGGTGATGGGCATGGCACCCATTTCTATCCTATCCAATCTTATGCTCCATGCCTGGCAACCAGCTCTTTTTTTTTGCGGGGGTGGGGGGAGTGGGGGTGTTACCGAGATGTAGAGTTCTGGACATAAATTTCAAGTAGCCCAGTTCACCACCTGGAGAGCTTGCATATGGCATCCAGCACTGCCCTGGAGTTACACTGCCTGCAGTGTGGAGCTATGTGTACTTAAAGGCCTAGAAACCATGGCGTCAACCATGACTTAGGGGCTAACTCCCTCATCCCTGAATCAAAAGGGCGTGAGTTTAAATCCCACTGCAGAGAAAATGAGCACACTATCTAGATTTAAATTCTTGTGCGACATTGGACCATTGGAGGCAATAACTCTGACTTGAAAGATCCCATTGCACTATTTTGACATGATTGATTGATTTATTTTAGAGTTAGATCTGCTGTAGGGGCTCGCAAGGAGTCATCCAGTGTTGGCACCATCTTGCATGAACAGGGAACTCCCCAGTGCCCTGGCCAATGCTTATCCCTCAACCAGTATCGGTAAAAAGAGATATTCCACCTATTATGATCTTATTCAAAAACAAAAATAGAAATTGCTGGAAAAGTTCAGCAGGTGTGGCAGCATATGTGGAGAGAAATCAGAGTTAACGTTTCAGGTCTAGTGACCCTTCCTCATGATCTTACCTTTGTAAACTTCTGATGCATTTTCCCCACTTTACAATAAAGATATATTCAGATCCCCCTGAATGATGTCAACTCACATGATCTTTAACAGAAACATAAGCTGCAAAAATCTTTCACAAAATTAAATGGTATTACATACATGCTTGCGTACTGATTGGCAAGAGCAGGAATGGTGATCTTATATACAAAGAGCTGTCTTTGGTCAGGTCCAATTGCCGAATGAAGCTGGTAAACTGGCTGTCCCCAGCTGTTTTTTTGGCATATATCTTCTAAAATCTGTATTAAGACACAATTTGTTTTGTCACCGTGTTAGTTTCACTGAACAACTTCGGCACAGTTTGGAAAACTTTTTGGATGAATTCGTAGATGTTCTTACCTGAGATGGGTGCTTTATTCCTTGTGGTTTCAGGGTCACTGGGTTGGTTGGAGTGAGCTCCATTCCAGGCAAGAGGTCGTAAAGTTTCTCCTCTTGCCTTTTGTCTGCTTTCACGTGGTAACCTGCATAACCACGCCCAACACCCGTATAAGCCAAATAACCTCGTCCTCCTAGCCCTCTAACTCCTGCAGCCCCTACAGGTACATTCATGTAAATTTCTAGGAATGCAAGAAGGCATCAAACTGAATCACCAGAAATCACTTTGATTCTCGTTTTTAAATGAAAAGGCTAAACCTCAATCATCAAGCTTGTTGAAAGATGATGTTCATGACTGAATAATGGCACATGCGTACCCTGTACTATCATGAATCATGTGGTGTATGACAATTAACCAGGAGTGACATTGGTAAAACATCTCGCTTGATTGTAGTCCATGGAGAAAGCTCTATGATGAACTTATCAACTGTACCTCTAAACATTGCAAATTAACGAACAAAAAGAGTTGGGGAATAGAACCTGGGGCAAGTGTTTTATATGCCTCAGGAGGAGTCTTCAGCACATCAACTCCAGGCAGAAATGTTGCCAATTCACTTCTATTGAGCTCATCTTTTAAAATATTCCTTATGTTTGAGGTTGAGCATTATTTTAAACATGCATGGATTAAAACTGATTGTGTTTTGTTATTTCTGTACTGAACACAAAATGCTTAATGGCCAAACATTCCAATTCAAAATAAGAGACCTTTTGATTGAATTTGTAACCCTTCTTGGAAATTTGATTTTAATTTTGAATTTGTGAATAAGGAAATCAAAAAGCTATAATTATTGATTAAAAACCATCTGAACCCCAAGTTTGACATGCTTTGAACATTTAACCACAGAACCTTTAACTTTACTGCCATTTGTCAAGCTGGTTCCTTAATTAGTCACTACAATTATTTCAGCAGGTTTTACTAAGATACAAAACAGGAAAAAAATACTTTATTTGAGTAAAAGGCATGGTATGTAAAAGACACGTTGAATTTCCAAATGGCAAATTGTTCCACTCTCTACAGTTTTGGTGACTTGCGGATATTTCAAACTATATTGTTGCAAGTCAGGATCACATTCATGCAATTTCATTTATAAAATGAAATTGGCAAATTTGCACATCAAAGGTAAAAAGCTGTAAAAATTAAAATGTTTCGAGCAATTTTTCTGCAACAACTGAATCTTTTTTAGACACCACATTTCACTTTCCTTTGCATCATCGCCTTTTCAGACACATAAGTACATCCCATAATCAAAATATGACAAAAGAAATTATTGCTCCTGGTGCAGATAATTTAGGAGAACTGCCTCCTAATTGAGCATAAAATTGGAAAATTAATGCACTTCAAATGCTTGCTTTCTTTATTGCTGACTGGTAGACGAATGAATTGTGTTATTTGGAGAATGTAGTCCTATGGTCACACACACACACACGGCTCAATGTCTATTCCCAAGCCCGTGCTGCTGGTTAGGATGCAGGTTGGGATCCCTCAAACGCCAGCGGCGAGACTACAAGGAACATCTTAGAGGAGGGGGACATTTAATTGATTCTGGGCATCCTGTCAAAGTAAGGGCAGTGGGCAAGGTTCATGTACCAGTAGGAGACCCTCCACCATTGGGGAGGTTGTCAGGTCAACTATCAGAGGTAGGCACTGCTGACATAGGTTGGAGTATGAAAGGGCACCTCAAGATGAAGGTTCCTTCTGAAGAATATTCACAGTTTAAAAATAAAATGTGGCCACAGCTGCTGGACTGTGCAGGGGCAACCAACAGGGCCTGCTGACACAACAGGGATGTTCAGGCTTGCAGGTAATGGGCTTCAGTTTACTGAGGTATCTCATCATCCTTTAGATGAAGATCTCACCCTCAATATTTACAGCCTGAAGGTATCTTACTAATAATGATATTACCAGCAACTCTGTACACTTCATTCTTCACCCATTTCCAACCTCAGTTGTAAGTCCTAAATATATACCAACCACTTGACAACAGACTGTCTCCTAGGCCCTTCCACACCTGTTTATTAACCACTATAAGGATTTAGTCTAGTGGGCCATGAGTTTAAGATGTTAATCGAGACATTAATCTCAGCCATGTTACCATTTGATGTGTTAAATTTTCCGGAACATCTATTGCAATTTGATTGATCTATTGCTTTTGTCAGAACTTGAACTTTTTAACTAACAGAACTGGAAATGTTTGTGCAATCGTTCTGCTTTGCTTTGTTTGTGATCAATAGGAAATAGCAACAATGCCTCAGGACTGTAAGACTAATGTCACATCCTAATCAGAATCTTCGAGCTCTTTTACCAATCCTTGAACCCATTTTATTTTGCTGATTTTAAAAGCTTTTAGTGACTTATCAAGGTACCAGCTTCTGACAAATCAATACTTTAGTAGTACTTCTGATTCTGTTGTTTATTGTAGGGTGGATGCAGAAAGAAGGAATTACCTCTCACAGAGGGAGCCCGTATCATCCCCCTTGCACTGAGATGCCCCTTGTTTGGGAAACGCAGATTGGGAATAGCTGTGTAGGCCTGGGGTGCATAGAAAACAGGAGCCCCAAGGTAGGCAGCTGCAGGATCATATACCTGTCCTAAGGCGTAGGTATATTCTCCTTGCAGCAATGCCCCTCGACCTCCGGTTCCTCTGGTGTAACGCACATAACTGTCCTTATCCACAGGCTTGGCCAGAGTGACCTCAATTGGAGAGCCATCCAACACCTTCGAAGAGTACACAGAAATTACGGGTTATCGTCAATACCTTCCAGTGCATTACTCACAGTTTGCCTCAGTTATTAGAAATTCCAGTAGTACCTTTCCATTCATCTTGTTCATGGCGTTAATCGCATCTTCTCGGGTAACAAAATGAACAAATGCATAATCTCGGATTTTCTTGACTCTTTCAACTGTGCCTGAAAGCAACACATTTGAGCCAAGTTCATGTACATTGAAATACCCACATCATCCGACAGTATTTGAAATCCTGGTATCAAATTGCATTGCTGTTCTGAGCACAATATAGATTGTAGAAAACGTGAACCTGTTAAATTGTGCATCATTAGCAAAGCCATAATAATGCTATGCTCGAGGGTACAATCATGCCAATTTAAAACACTGCATTTTTAAAACCACGTGACCATCAAACAAATGTGGAAAACAAAAAATGATCTCTCAACCATTAACACAAATAACCGAAAGAAACGAAAAGCAATAGTCTGTCTTCCATCTGCTCTATCCAGTTTGCCCTGCTCAGTCATGTTGTAACTAGGCAACATGACCCTTACATGTAGGGGCCATAATATCAGGCCCCTCAGAAGCTTTGTAATCTCCTGGATCACGACAGGGAAAATTAATTCTGGATATGACTTTTACATTTAAAAAGGCTAATGGAATATTCATCTTTATCTCATGAGGGCTCAATCCAATACAGAGGGGTAGAAGTTATGTTCCAGATGTAAAGAGTACTCATTAGCACCTTATTCAGCTCTGTGCATACACTTCACGACAATTCATATAGTGTTGCCCAAGTGCAATGCAGTCTCCCAGAATGATCCTGAGGCGGAAAGTGTTAAACTATGAGGACCTGTTGCATAGACATCCACTTTAATTTCTTTTCTTCACTGTTGGTTTGTGATCATCGTTGACATGGCCAGCACTTATTGCCCACCTCTGATTGCCCTTGGCAAGGTGTGACGTGTCTTCTTCTTGCGCGACTGCATTGCAGCTGGTAGGGGTAGGACAGGGTTCCAGGATTTTAACTCATTACCAGTGAATGAATGCCAGAACAGCTCTAAGGTAGGATATTGTGCAGTTTGGAAGTGAATTTGCAGGTAATGGAGCTCCTATGTGTTTGCAACCATTGTCCTCTTGAGATTGCAAGGTTGGAAGGTGTTACTGCAGGATGCTGGAAAAGTTGATGCAGGTGCTATACACACTGAGCATAGAAGACTAAGGGGTGATTGAATTAGGCTGTTTAAAATGATCAAAGCTGATGAGAGGGACAGGCAATAAATGCTGGCCAGCCAGCGACACCCACGTCCCATGACTGAATAAAATGAAAAGGTTTTCCTTTAGTGGGTGAATTAAGAATAAGGGGAAAGAATCTTAAAATTAGAGCAAGATTGTTCAGGAGTAATATTCAAAAACACATCCTCAAAAAAAATGTGTAGTGGAAACTCTGTCCCCAATAAGCTGTTGAGGAGACGTCAATTGAAAATATCAAGATTGATATTGGTTGAGGTTGGTCAGGTGTAGGATTAAGGATAATGGAACAAAGGCAGATAAATGGAGTTATGAACCAGATTGGCTGTGATCTAATGGAGGAACAATCACAAGGAGCTGAAAGTCTGAGATAGTA